AAAATCTGTGATATTTAATCAAATAGAATATAAGGAAAATAAACAAATAGCTGACGAATTTAACAAATACTTTATAAATAGTATAAGAGAGATAAGAGATTCCATTGAAAATGTGCAATATTCAAATAGTATACAACCAGTAATAACTAATTTTAAATTCCGTGCAATAAATAATATAGAACTAAGACATATAATAAGTAAAATGAATAAAAAACAAGATTTTAACAAGATATCAAATAAAATCATTCTAGACAATTGGAGCTTAGTGGGTGACATTTTAGTCAATATAATTAATAAATCACTGGAAAGTGGAGAATTTCCAACAAATTGGAAAGAAACCATAATAACACCAATAGAAAAAGTCAAAAACACGAGAAATTGTGAAGAATTTAGACCGATAAACTCATTAAAAACATGTGAAAAAATTCTTGAAAAAGTAGTAAAAGAACAACTCGAAATATATCTAGAGGAAAATTCAATTTTATCTAAATATCAATCGGGATTTCGAAATAAATATTCGTGTGAAACTACAGTGAACTATGTAGTAAACAGATGGAAAAATAAAAAGAAAAATAATAAAATAATGGCAATATTTCTGGACTTTAAGAGAGCATTCGAAACAATAGACCGCAAAATATTATTAAAAAAGATGTACATGTACGGAATACAAAATAATGAACTAAAATGGTTTAATTCGTATTTAACTAATAGAATTCAATACACTAAAATTAACAATATAAAATCTAATTCAAGTATAAATGATTACGGTGTTCCACAGGGATCAATCCTGGGTGCATTGTTATTCATTATATATATAAATGATATGCCAAATGTTTTGGAAAAAAGTGAAATTATTTTATATGCGGACGATACATTAATATTTGCTGAGGACGAGAATGATAACAATTGTAAAGATAATTTAGAGCACGATATGAACAATATCAATAACTGGTTGAAAATGAATAAACTAAAATTAAATGAAAATAAAACTAAAATAATGGAAATTAACATTACAAACAGTGCAATATTTACAATAAATAATAATATAATAGAAAAAGTAAATCAAATTAAATATCTCGGTTTTATAATTGATAAGGAACTAAGCTTTAAAGATCACATAGATTATATATTATATATGTAAAAAAATTGCCAAAAAAATCGGTTTTTTCAAACGAATAAGAAAGAATATATCAACAATGACATCAATTAATGTTTATAATACAATAGTAAAACCACATTTCGAGTACGGTTCCACAATCATATATACATGCTGTAAAACAACACAATTAGAAAGATTACAAAAATTTCAAAACAAGGCTATGAGAATAATACTTAAATGTAACAGATATACATCAATACAACTAATGCTAAATATACTAAACTGGATGAATATCAAGCAAAGACTAGAGTTAAATACAATACTATTTATACAAAAAATGAAGAGCGGAAAAGCACCAGGATATCTATGCGAACAATTAAATTATGTAGGTGATATACAACCATATAGACTGAGAAATGCAGAAGACTTCAGACTACGGCCAGCACATAACACAACTGCGCAGCTATCATTATTCTATAAAGGACTTAAACTATATAACTCCATGCCAACATATATAAAAAAAGAAAGAAATGAATATGTATTTAGGAAAGAATGTGTAAATTTTGTTAAAAATAATACAAATGTACTTTTATAGAGCTAAAATTAATTTAATGATTATGTAATCAAATTGTAACCAAAATTGTAACTTAAAAGTATTAATAATACTAATAAATAATAATAATAATAATAATAATAATTTTCAAAGTACAACCAAATTCGAATACTTATGTGAGACACTGTATGTACATACATACGTACATATATAAAATTCTAACGTTACTGACTGACTGATTCATCATCGCACAGCCTAAACGATTTTAGCTAAAGAGCTTAAATTTGGACAGGAGGTTGGTCTCCCACCAAATAGATCCACTAAGACGGGATTTTTGGAAATTCGAATGATTAGGGGGTTAAATATGGTAAAAACAGGTAAATTCGGTAACCTCATATCTCCTAAACTATAAAAGATACAAAAACAGTTTAAAGCTTATCGTCATTCATTTAAAAAATAAGCGGACAGGTGTCTGGTACTTTTTTCAAATTCGGCCCCTTTGGGGAATAAACGGGTAGAAACTGTAATTTGGTACTTCTTTTGCACCCCATGTATCTTTTAAACCAGAGAACATTCAACAAATATTTTTGAATCCTTCATAATTTGACGAACAAATAAAAATATGAATTTAGTACTTTTTGGATATTCGGACGTTTAAGGGGTGAAAATTGTACCTATTTTTGGTACTTTTTTTATAAAACATTGTTTTTTGGTTAATTAACTTATACATATGAATACATAATAATGGGCTCCCAATACGATGTTGCAACTGGTACTTTTTTGACTTAGAATTTAGAAACATGTAATTAAGCACTTGAGAATCTATAAAAGTGGACTTTTTGGTACTTTTTAGTTCTTCAAAAGGTACTTTTTGAGTTTTCTATTAAATTGAACATAGAAACATGAAATTATGCACGTAGAGCCTGGAGTAAATGAGAGTCTATAAAATGGCACTTTTTGGTACTTTTTCGGTCTTTGACTGGTACTTTTTGAGCTTGCTACAAAATTTGAACCTCGAAACATGAAATTAAGCACTTAGAGCCTGGAGTAAATGAGAATCTATAAAATGGGAACTTTATCGTACTTCGACTGGTACTTTTTGAGTTTTCCATAAAATTAAACCTAGAAACATAAAAATAAATATGTAGAGCCCGGAGTAAATTATAATCTATAAAAAGGGACTTTTTAGTACTTTTTCGTTCTTCGACTGGTACTTTTTGAATTTTTTATAATATTGAACCTAGAAAAATTAAATTAAGAATGTGCAGCCCGGATTAAGTGATAACATTTAAAAGGGGACTTTTTGGAACTTTTTCGTTTTTCGACTGGTACTTCTTGAATTTTTTATAATATTGAACCTAGAAACATGAAATTAGGAATGTACAGCCCGGATTAAGTGATAACATATAAAAGGGGACTTTTTGGAACTTTTTCGTTCTTCAACTGGTTCTATTTGAATTTTCTATTATAATGAACCTAAAAACATAAAACTAAGCAATCAGGGACTTGAGTGAATGAAAATTTAAACTGGAGTATTTCTGGTAATTTTTCGTTCTTTAACTGGTACTTTTTGAATTTTCTAAAATATTGAATATATAAACATAAAATTAAACACGCAGTATCCTAATTGAACGAAAATTTATCTCGCTTACGTCCATTTTGCAAAAATGGCTCGATATCAATCGAAATTTCTATAGGCCATAATTGACCCTGCCCCCTTCAATAATTGATTTTAACGTTTTTTACGTACTTAATAATACCATAATAAAACAATTTTTGTTGGAACGAAAATATGTAATGCAAATATGTATATGAAATCTTCTTGAGAAATGACTTAAACGCACATAAATGGATTTCAAATGTCGATGTCGACGAAAAAAACATTTTTAGGAACCGAAAAATAAAGTTATGAGGATCGGTCCGCCAATATATCCCTCTTACAGAAAATCAGTTTATAGCTGATACATCATTCCAAAAGTTATCATTATGATAGAATTATAGTAGAATTAAAAAAAAAAATACTTTAAATTATATATATTATTGATCCAAATCCACATTTAAGTCCCTAATCCGAAAAACACGGTGACGTTCTTATTAATCTAATGATCGGACCACTTCCGAAATTTGCTTTTTTACGACATATGATTTGCCGAATATAACTCTTACTTCTTACTTATTTTAATCATAAATTACCGCTAAAATATGATTAGTCTGCCTTTAGAGTTGCGAGTTTTCATACATTCTAATAATGTTTTCAAAGTGAAACTTTTGGAATATTTTTCAATCTCTTTGTGATCCCTTTAAATGATGTTGTTCTGGAAGAACTTTAACATCCATGTAAACATTTTGGGTAATAAATTGGGGGACTACCAATGAGGGGAGCGGAACCTCCCATATGAATTAAATACAAAAATTCGTTTATCTGGGAAACTAATATAACTAAATTCTTCAAATTTTGCACGAACAACTTTAATATTCATCTGAACATTTTGGAGAAAAAAGGGCGGACTTTCATCTGGGGGGCTTGGAGCTCCCATATGAATTAAATAGACAAATTCGTATATCTGAGAAACTATTAGAGCTAGAATCTTCAAATTTTACTGAAGAACATTTAGAGAATAACGGGCGGTCTTTCAATGGGGGGCTTGGCACTTCCCATATGAATTAAATACAAAATTTTGTATATCTGAAAACTATTAGATTATTCAAATTTTTCATAGATTAAATTAAACGTGGAATCTCCCATATGTAACAAATTGAATATCTGGAAAACCATTGTAGTTAGAATCATCAAAATTGTTAAGTAGGTTTCTTATTTATATTGCTTTTAGGGTAGCACAGCACACTGGGTATAGCTAGTAAATAAACAAATAAAATATCTTTGTTTTTACGTTATTGATCATTTTCTTAATGCAAAATTTTTTAGAAACTGATTTTCTGCAAGATGTTTTATATGGAGAACTTGGAGAAAGGATTTGTTTTTAATTTTTAAGAATTTTTTATTCATCCCTGCATAATTTCTCATACAACTTTTGAGTTTGCTCTGTTTTGTTGTTATAAACAATATATTTGCTTCCAAAATCCTACTTTCTGATCTCTTGGATTCCGTTTTTATTTAAAATCGTTGAAAAATTAAAAACTAAACGTAGTTGAAAACTTAGCCGGCTTACAGTCGATTTTAAGCCGCCGCCGACATATTTAGTGTCAGTCGCCGCCGCCGTTAATATTTGTCGGCGCAGGGCTCTGAATTCAACCGCCAACAATTTTTAGCAATTCAACCATTTTGTTCAAATTGTAAACTTAAAAATCTATTTAAATTGTTTTGAATTTGAATTAAAAAAAAAAGAAATGTGGAATAATTTTGAACAATCTCCTCTAGAAGATGAGACCATATCAAATGCTTTCTCTTCTCGTGGAATTTTTCGCATAACCAGTGATGATGAGGTTAGTTTTGATATTAACAAGAAAATCCTTTGTTTACATTATTTTAAGGGCTTCTTTATGGATATTATTTTAGGTTACTCAATATCCTCAGGTGCAGGCTTCAGTACAAAATACCAAAATGGTTATAGCCATTGATAAAACTGTATTTTTATTGGAAGATGAAATGATTGCGAAATGTAGTTTGCTAACATTTAACACCAACATTGATGTCCTGGCCATTTCACAGACGGGCAACTTGATTGTTTGTGGTTTAAGTGATGGTGAAATACATGGTATTTTCATTAAGGGCATACCATTGTTTAGTCAAAATATTAAACAGAACGATGTTAATTTGATTGGTGGAAAAACGTTTGCGGGCATTCAACAAGTGGGAAATAACTTCTGTTTGACATGTACAAATGGTAGTGTTTATAGGTGAGATGGGAAGATAGACTTAATTAATTAATATAATAAATATTTCCATAAAATTTCCTCTCCAGTCTCTCTGAAATTGATGAATCTTGTTTGGAGTCTTATTTGAATATATCCCTAAACGAAAATGAAACCATGTCTTTTGCTGAAAATCTTTATAATGATGTTGCCCTTAAACGTTTATTTGGTATAAGAGGTCTAAGTGAAATTACTGCTGCCTTGTTGATAAATCAAAATTTTGATTTCTTTAATGCTCAACTACCCGAAAAGGATCCCTTACTAATAGCTGGTACACATAATTCCATCTACATGCGCTCCTCTCAGGATGATGTAGTACGTATTAATATACCGGACAGTTATCGGGGTGTTAAAAATATCTATAATCTTGAGAATTTCATGTAAGTTTTGAAACCTAAAATTAGGATTTTAGTTGATTATAAAAAATGTATATTTCTAGTATTATTTTAACTAATTCGGGGCATTTATTGGAGTTGTGTCCTTTTACTAAAATTATATTTTTTGCTTCGCCTTCGCAAGATATTTTAATAGATGATTTGATTGTCATGGAATGTAGTGATGAGAATATCGAATTATTAACTCTTACTAAACGTTCGGAAGATCACGAGAGATCCATTAAGATTGTGGATTATCCGGGTGGGTATTTTTTTTATTAATACTAAACATTACTTAGGTATATTTTAATGTATTTTTATATGTTTTAGCTCTTAAATGCCACAATGAACTGGATGTCACTGAACATTCCTGGTTGGTTCAACAACCCAAATGTTCAGTGAATTTATATTATTTTAGTTGTTTACAGTGTAATGTAAATAACTTTCCTTCGGTTTTGGAAATGCTATCGGTGTCGGAAACTCATCCCAGTGAACGTTTTAAGAAATTAATAGCCAAGGGCCATTTGGAAGAGGCAGAGGTGGGAGTTTGTTATTATTTTTACATTTTCAAAAGAAAACTTGAAAATGTTTCGCAAATTCTTAATTACATGTTCTTTTAATTATTTTTTAACTTAATAAAATTGTATGGTTTCCTTTTGTTGTTCTTTTCCAGGTTTTTGGCACTCAATTTGAATTGTGTTTACAACCTATTTACGAAGCTAAAGCTAAAAAGATTTTAGTAGAAATGGATAGTTTGGGAGAGGTAAGTCAGAATAGTTACGAATTCAGCCTTTGAAGTTATCTATCTAGCGAGCGAGCGAGCGAGCGAGCGAGAGAGAGCGAGCGAGCGAGAGCGAGCGAGCGAGCGAGCGAGGCGAGCGAGCGAGCGAGCGAGCGAGCGAGCGAGCGAGCGAGCGAGCGAGCGAGCGAGCGAGCGAGCGAGCGAGCGAGCGAGCGAGCGAGCGAGCGAGCGAGCGAGCGAGCGAGCGAGCAGCGAGCGAGCGAGCGAGCGAGCGAGCGAGCGAGCGAGCGAGCGAGAGGGCAGCGAGCGAGCGAGCGAGCGAGCGAGCGAGCAGCGAGCGAGCGAGCGAGCGAGAGGAGAGCGAAGCGAGCGAGCGAGCGAGCGAGCGAGCGAGCGAGCGAGCGACGAGCGAGCAGCGAGGAGCGAGCGACGAAGCGAGCGAGCGAGAGAGCGAGCGAGCGAGCGAGCGAGCGAGCGAGCGAGCGAGCGAGCGACGAGCGAGCGAGCGAGCGAGCGAGCGATCTATCTACCTATCTATCTATCTATCTATCTATCTATCTATCTATCTATCTATCTATCTATCTATCTATCTATCTATCTATCTATCTATCTATCTATCTATCTATCTATCTATCTATCTATCTATCTATCTATCTATCTATCTATCTATCTATCTATCTATCTATCTATCTATCTATCTATCTATCTATCTATCTATCTATCTATCTATCTATCTATCTTCTATCTATCTATCTATCTATCTATCTATCTATCTATCTATCTATCTATCTATCTATCTATCTATCTATCTATCTATCTATCTATCTATCTATCTATCTATCTATCTATCTATCTATCTGTCTGTCTATCTATCTGTCTATCTATCTATCTATCTATCTATCTATCTATCTATCTATCTATCTATCTATCTATCTATCTATCTATCTATCTATCTATCTATCTATCTATCTATCTATCTATCTATCTATCTATCTATCTATCTATCTATCTATCTATCTATCTATCTATCTATCTATCTATCTATCTATCTATCTAACAATGAACACAATTTCTTCTTTATCCCTTTTTTAGAACAACCCTGACATGGTGAATGAACATTTCATGGAGTTAATGAAACTTTTACAAAATATCCAGAATAAAGAATTCTTTAGGCAAAATCGTATGTTTAATTTGCCCACACGCAAAACATTGGAAAGGTATTTGAAAGAAGTTCTAACTCATCTAGATGAAGAGGTAATTAATAGAACAAACAAAAAATGAAACAACTACTTAATATATGTTCCTACAGGACGATGAACAAAACATTTTGGAAATTGTCGAACAATTAGATCGTCTTAAAACCTTGGCCATCATAGATCCTTACGAAATTAATCATGAATGGCAAAAATTTGTCTATCACCCAAATTTAATCAAGTATATAACATCGTTATTTAAATCCGATATGCCATTGGCCTGTTTAATTTGGAAAAGACATTCGAGTGCTTTATTGCCGCAGTTGACGGAAAATAAATTGCGAGAACTTTTAAATCTCATACCCAATGATACGAAACCTTTTAATCTCTTGCAATGGTTAAGACAATTTGTACCCATTGTCAGTAATACACATCCCAATATCATGCCTTTCATAACGGAATGGAGTATACAAAAAATAAGATCTTTACAATATGCTGAACATTGGCCGGAAATTGGTTTGGAATTTTCCACAAAAGTTACCGAGATATTTGAAGATATGCATTTTATGCACTCGGATGTTAGAAGACAATATGAACGTAATATAGGCAAATTAAGAGATGTGGTAAATGCATTAGAGGATTTGTTTGTTTTGAAAAAAAGTTATAATTTAATATTTACTTTGGATAACTACTTGCAAGTGAGTTTAGTTTTAAGGAAGTAGAAAAATGTAGGAGATTTTCTTAATTATTTTAATTGTAGGATAGTGTAGATGAAACGGCCAAGTGTATTTTAATGCGTGTACATTTGGATAATCTTAAAAGTTTGGTCAATGACTTTCTTTATCCTATTTACCAAGAGAAAGGCACTTCTCCAGTAGCAGCCATACGGCGTTATATATCTTTATTGGTGGCTAGCAGAAATTCCTTTTCCACTTGGCTAGAGAGATCTGTGGCCTGTATAGAACTTTTACACAATGAGGATGATCGTTTAGAATCGGCTTTATTGGTGTTGCAGGTAATTTCCAGGGAACTTTTCTAAAATGTTTAACTAATTATCTGTTGTTTAAAGAATTCTCCTGTACCCTGGCCCGAAACAGTGGCACCTTTAATCAAGTTGCGTTACTCTACCCATCCCTTGGCTTTGAAAATTAACACTGAATATGAAATTCAAGTTATCAAGATAATGAAGGCTAAATATGGTTGGCCCACAGATGTAGCATCTGATATTAATTTAAATTTGTTTATGTTTCGTATTATAAAAATGGATTTGCCTGATATGTTGGAAGATATTAAAGTGCTTACCAAGGCGGCTCCGGAAATAGCTAATGGCGCCAATTCTAATTGTTGTTATGAAATGGTTAAACGTGGGAAACTAGATGTGGCATATGAATTTTTCAAAACCCTAAAAGCCGATAAGAATTCGAAATATGCTGTGGAAGTTACAGACTTTTTTGCGGTTAGTGCATTGTATTCTTTGATTAAAATTGAAGTAAAATATTTCTACAACATTTAATAGGTACTTTTGGAAAATTCTCCCTGTAATTGGAATGAAAATGAGGAAGAACAACGCAACTTAATAGAATTTTATAAACTTATCTCACCGCTTAACTGTAACTCCTTTCAGAAACGTGTAAAAGCCATTGAAAATTGTTTTGTTTTAAAACATAAATATGATTTACAAATCAGCGATATGAAACAGTTGGTTTTATATGAACATCGTCTTAAATTATTAGATGATGGCATAGAGAATATTATTAAACGTAGCCAGCCTGGTGATAGTATTTGTAAGTATTTTACGGCCGAAATAAGTGAGTTATCAACGGCTCTGAATTTTCCCAAAATGTTTGGTGTAAAACGTTTGTGTCAACGCATGAAATGTTTAATATTATCCTGTGCTCTCACCTATAATATTATGCAAATTGCTGATTGTAATAAGGAGAATAAAGATGTTTACATAGAAATGGCTTTGGAGCTTTTAAGCCAACAGATACAACTTACTAAAGGTTCACAATCGAGTACTTTAACTGCCTTGTTAAACGACAATGATCCTTTGGCTTTTCCGCTGGCCTATAAATTGCTGGTAAAAGCCTCTCTCTTTGAGAGTACACAAAATTGTGATCTTGTTGAGTTGATTAATTATGTACGTATTGCTAGAACTACTTATTCTTTGAATGAAATTGAAAGTTTCTATGAGAGTCGTGAAAAAGATATATCGAAATTGATATGTGAGGCAATAGATGCTTCGGAAATTGCTGTGGGTGATGCTACTTTGAATTTCACGGCGGCAATGAATAATTCATTTGATGTGAAGCCAGAAAAACCGAAAAAGAGATATTCTGTGTCGTTGTTCGATGAAGTGTTGCCGCCGCCCCAGCAGCAAATACAAAATAAGGTAAGTGTTCTGATTTAGCCATAAATCAGTGTAGTCTATAGTCAAGTCTATAATCTAGTCTATAGTCTAGTCTATAGTCAAGTCTATAGTCTAGTCTATAATCTAGTCTATAGTATAGTCTATAGTCTAGTCTATAGTCTAGTCTATAGTCTAGTCTATAGTCTAGTCTATAGTCTAGACTATAGTCTAGTCTATAGTCTAGTCTATAGTCTAGTCTATAGTCTAGTCTATAGTCTAGTCTATAGTCTAGTCTATAGTCTAGTCTATAGTCTAGTCTATAGTCTAGTCTATAGTCTAGTCTATAGTCTAGTCTATAGTCTAGTCTATAGTCTAGTCTATAGTCTAGTCTATAGTCTAGTCTATAGTCTAGTCTATAGTCTAGTCTATAGTCTAGTCTATAGTCTAGTCTATAGTCTAGTCTATAGTCTAGTCTATAGTCTAGTCTATAGTCTAGTCTATAGTCTAGTCTATATTCTAGTCTATAGTCTAGTCTATAGTCTAGTCTATAGTCTAGTCTAGTCTAGTCTAGTCTATAGTCTAGTCTATAGTCTAGTCTATAGTCTAGTCTATAGTCTAGTCTATAGTCTAGTCTATAGTCTAGTCTATAGTCTAGTCTATAGTCTAGTCTATAGTCTAATCTGAAGTCTAGTCTAGTCTAGTCTGAAGTCTAGTCTAGTCTATAGTCTAGTCTATAGTCTAGTCTATAGTCTAGTCTGTAGTCTAGTATATAGTCTAATCTATATTCTAATGTATATTCTAGTCTATAGTCTAGCCTATAGTGTAGTGTATAGTGTAGTCTATAGTCTAGTCTATAGTCTATTCTATAGTCTAGTCTATAGTCTAGTCTATAGTCTAGTATATAGTCTCATCTTTAGTCTTTTCTATAATCTAGTATATAGTCTAATCTACAGTTTATAGTTTTGTCTATAATCTGGTCCATAATCTTGTATATAGTCTATTATCAAGTCTATGTTCTAGTATGTAGTCAAGACTGTAGTCTGGTCTATATTCCCGTCTATAGTTTATACTATACAATTTAGTTTTTCCCCTTTTTATAGGTCACCTATAGCGAACATTTACACATTGTTAAATTCCTATCACGCACTCTATTCTTTCTGGTCATAAGCACCCCATCCACTAATGATCAATTTGCCAAATTAAAGGAAATGATTATAAAAACTGGCGATTCTTCTATAGATACCGATTTGGATAGTGCTAAAAATGATTTCTTTTTATCACTCGAACATTTGATAAAGAATAAAATGCATGATGTTTGGTATATAATAGCACAATATCTATTGGACTATCAGAAGAGGCACAATTGTAAATTAATAAATGGAGACTTTATATCATTGCAAATGGTAAGAGTATTCAGGAATATAATGTCACACAAAGAGGTTAACTTTTTGGGTAAGTCCTTTACTAAATATTAACCACAGAAAAGTTACAATTTGAAATCTATAAATCTATTCTATAATACAGAATTATTTGTTATGTTAACGGCTGATTCTTATTCGAAAATCTTATTGGAAAAATTGGAAAATGATTTGAGAACCGATCAACAAAAAGTCAATTTATTAACTTTGTCTGAAATGTATAATGTACACTTTGAGGAAATGGCCAATGTGGAAGCCATAAGAAATAAGTAGGTTCAATATTTTAGGAATAATAGGATGTGTGTTTTATAAGATTTTTTATTGCAGACGCATTAAACATTATTACTATTTGGAATTTTGTAAACAAGATCCCACCATTAAAGGCAAATTTAATGCTGAAATCGATGGTATAGAACAATTATTGAAAGAATTCCATAATAAACAATTGGATGTTCTTTTATTGGAACGCATGAGCAGAGATTTTCAATTGGATTATCAGAAGATGTTGGTAACACAGGTGGTGAGCATTTTACAGGCCCAGGAAATGCAATATGAAATTAAAACTGATGCTTTTGGTGATGAAGAGTTGGTAATGATTACCACTGTGGAGAATATCAGAAATTTATGTCAACCTTATATAAATGCAATTAAAAATACCGATTTATTAACATCGAAACTTAAACAATTTATAGATGAGGTAAATGTTTTTCCTTTATTTAACTGATGGTTTAATATTTTCTTTCAGACTTTTATAGTCAAGACTATAGTGCAGACTATAGTCAAGTCTATAGTCCAAACTATAGTCTAATCTATAGTCCAGATTATAGTATAATCTATAGTCCAATGTATAGTGCAGACTATAGTCAAATCTATACTCCAAACTATAGTCTAATCTATAGTCCAGACTATAGTCTAATCTATAGTCCAGACTATAGTCTAATCTATAGTCCAGAATATAGTCTAATCTATAGTCCAGAATATAGTCTAATCTATAGTCCAGACTATAGTCTAATCTATAGTCCAGACTATAGTCTAATCTATAGTCCAGATTATAGTCTAATCTATAGTCCAGACTATAGTCTAATCTATAGTCCAGACTATAGTCTAATCTATAGTCCAGAATATAGTCTAATCTATAGTCCAGACTATAGTCTAATCTATAGTCCAGACTATAGTCTAATCTATAGTCCAGACTATAGACTAGTCTATATTTCAGGCTATAGTATAGTCTATAGTCCAGACTATAGTCTAATCTATATTCCAGACTATATTCTAATCTACAGTCCAGACTATAGTCGACTATAGTCTAGTCTATAGTCCAGACTATAGTCTAGTCTATAGTCCGGACTATAGTCTATAGTCCAGACTATAATCTGGTTTATAGTCCAGACTATAGTCTAATCTATAGTCCAGACTATAGTCTAGTCTATATTTCAGACTATAGTCCGGACTATAGTCTAATCTATAGTCCAGACTATAGTCTAATCTATAGTCCAGACTATAGACTAGTCTATATTTCAGACTATAGTATAGTCTATAGTCCAGACTATAGTCTAATCTATATTCCAGACTATATTCTAATCTACAGTCCAGACTATAGTCTAATCTATAGTCCCGACTATAGTCTAGTCTATAGTCCAGACTATAGTCTAGTCTATACCCCAGACTATAGTCTTGCTCATAGTCCAATAGAGTCAAGTCTATGGAGAGATTATTCCAATTTGTCTTTCAGATCCACATCTATTTCTATGAATTATATTTGTGTGTCATCGAAATTCTTTTACATTTCGATGCTGTACCTAAAGAGATGCAAGTCTGGACTAGTATTTTGCTTTTCCTAAAACACAAAATGACCACAAGGCGGCGTAATCGACCGGGACAGTTAGAAACCGATATGTGGTTTGAGTCGCAAAAAGAAATTGGTGTTTTACCCAAGATTTCACGTTATCGTTTGCCCTTCAAACCCATAGTCGAACAACCGCTAAAAGATATCTTAGATACCGAGTTAAATGTGGATAATTGTGAGAGTTGGTTCCCTCTTATACAAATGCATATGATGCTGAAAGGTTCCACAGATATAGCACTCAATTGTGACTATTTCTGTATGTCGGCAGTGAAAAATTCCATAGGAGAATATAAAAATCGAGATGATACGGAGACATGGCATTTGCAGCCCACAAATAATGCATTCTTGAAATCGGTAGGTGATGATAAAGATAGAATTCTTATTTTTATTGAAATTTTCTATTGATTTCTCTTTTTAGATCTTGCGTTTGGTTGAACATGTACATAATCCCTCTAAGGCTTTTATGATTTTATATTTTGTCTCCAACTATGCCCCCGATGGAGCCGATCAAGTGGAGGCATCTTATGAATGTTATAAATTCGCTTTGAAAAATGAAAAACTTATAACAGATCCTAAATGTCAAGAGCAGCTATCGAAAATTAAACGCAAATATCCCACACTTAAGACACAACATTTACTATATGTTTATGGCTTAACGGATGAAAAACTGATGCGTTTAATCGAGAATCCCTCAGATTTGATATATCACTTATATCATTTGGATATCATTCTAAAAGGAGGTAAATTGGATATAAATGCAGTGGTTAAGGAAATTGCTGAATTGCATCAGCTAAATGTAGAACCTATACAATATAAATTGCTGCAAAAATGGCTATCATTTACGGTGGATCAACCAGATGGCACCATATTAGATGAGACCTTGTTTGAAGATCAAAACCTATCAGAGAATAGTACCGAAGAGTTTAATAATGCAGCAGAAAATGTTATAAGGTAGACCAATTTAAATTGTAAATTATATTTTAAATACTTCAACTTAATTTATATTTCTTTAGAGCTAATTACATTATCAACAGCTGGCCCATAGAGATGGCAGTGCAATATTTGGTGGCCAATATCTTTCCACCAGATGGGTAAATTTTTAGACATTTTATGGCAAAAACATTTTTTTCAAAAAAATTTATATTTTTAGCTCGGTCAATACCTCTAAACAGCTGCAAATGTATGAGTGTTATTTCAAACTTTATGATGGCAGCAGCACCTCCTTCGACAATATGTTTAGCCAAAAGCAGTATATCACCATCAAATGTGTACATGAGCTCAAGAAATTGGGTTACAATTCTAGTTTGGATAAATTTGCTGAGAGCAATAAAATCGATATACTCAAAACTATTTGGCAAAGAAAATCTCACAATCCAAATACTTTACAAATTTTGGCAAATATTTGTTTAGGTTTTGATATTTATTTACCGAAAATATGGAATGGTATATTGAAACGTATGGTTATGTTGAATATGGTTAAAGATTTGAATGCTTTGGTCGATGTATTATCTTGTAAGCCACAACTATTGCATACTGAAGGTTTAATAATGGCTTGGGATTGTGTTCTATTGGAACCTTTTAAAAATGCCAATCAAACGAAATCATTTGAACAGGAGGAACAATTGCATAAGACTTTATTTAGATTGCAGGTAAGGTGGAGAGGAAAATGTAATGTTGTAGACCAGACTAAAGTAAGGTCTATAATCCAGACTATTGTCTAGTCTGTAGTCCAGATTATTGTCTAGTCTATAGTCCAGACTAAAGTCTAGTATATAGTCCAGACTATAGTATATTTTATAATCCAGTCTATAGTCGAGATTATTGTCTAGTCTATAGTCCAGATTAAGTCTTGTCTATAGTCCAGACTATAGTCTAGTCTTTAGTCCAGACTATAGTTTGACTATAGTTCATACTACTGTCTAGTCTATAGTCAAGCCTATAATCTAGTTTATGGTCCAAACTATAGTCAAGTCTATAATTCCGACTGTAATCTAGTCTATAGTCCAACCTATAGTCTAGTATATAGGCTACAGTCTAGACTATATTCTAGTCTATAGACCAGACTATAGTCTAGTCCATAGTCCAGACTATAGTCTAGTCTATAGACCAGACTATAGACCAGTCCATAGTCCAGACTATAGTCTAGCCTATAGTCCAGACTATAGTCCAGACTATAGTCTAGCCTATAGTCCAGACTATAGTCCAGACTATAGTCTAGCCTATAGTCCAGACTATAGTCTAGCCTATAGTCCAGACTATAGTCTAGCCTATAGTCCAGACTATAGTCTAGCCTATAGTCCAGACTATAGTCTAGCCTAAAGTCCAGACTATAGTCTAGTCTGTAGTCCTGTAGTCCAGACTATAGTCTAGTCTAAAGTCCAGACTATAGTCTTTTCTATAGTCCAGACTATAGTCTAGTATATAGTCCAGACTATAGTCTAGTCTATAGTCCAGACTATAGTCTAGTCTATGATCCAGACTGCAGTTTAGTCTATAGACTAGATATAGTCCAGACTATAGTCTATGGTCCAGACTATAGTCTTGTCTATAGTCCAGACTATAGTTTTGTCTATAGTCCAGAGTATTGTCCAGTCTATAGTCCATATTATAGTATAGTCAATAAGCCTGTTTATAGACTAGTACATATATCGTACAAGCTATGGTCTAGTAAATAGTCTAGACTAAAATCTAGTCCATAGTGCAGCCTTATGTCTAGTCTTCAGCCAGTACTATTTATTTTTATAAACAATCCTCTTTTTGCAGAGTTGTCCCGTTGTCCATTCCCTTAACTTATTTAGATTTGCTGAAACCTGTTTGCGTTTAGATCGTCCTCATATGGCAGCTGTATTTTTGGCATTTTGTCGAGCCGATGAACAAAAAACACAAATTAAAAGGGTTGGTATTAATAAAGTAATTTTTTAAACGCAGTTTCCATTATTATTTTCTTTTGTATTTTTCGCAGCTTATTACTTTGCGCAACGATAAAATGCGAAACGATATTTTGGATTTGGAAGATGCTGGTATTTTGCCGTTTGTTTTAAATTTTGCTCTTAAAGAGTTAAATTTATAAATTGTAAAAAAAATCTTTTTCTTTTTTTTGTAAAATGATCAATAAGATGTGAATTTATCTCAAATAAAGAGTAACTGAATTTAAATTATTATGAAAATAAAACTTATATAAAACTATAGTTTTTTTATATTTATATTCAAATTTTCTTTAAATAGACGAGGCTTTAGTTTAATACTGTCGGCAGTTCAAGCTATATAGTCTACTCAAGAGTCTCTTATTCAGACAATTTATGATGCAAAATTTCTGTAAACACAGTTGAGTTTTGTAGTCACTTTTTAAATTTAAAAATTATAACAAAGAATTAACTATTTTATAACAAATATACACATTTACAATTATTTTGTTCGCCCTTCATATTAAATAGATAAAATTTTGATAAAAGTTGTTCAACATGCTTATTAAATTGTAATAAATACGGCACAAGTATAACAGTTTTTCACACTCTCCTCCTCTTTGCACCCATAATATATATTTCTCTAATATTTACACTACTCCATCTGCACTAGTATAATTCGTATTTTTTATTATTAAATACAATTATTTATTATCTGTTTATATTGTTTGCATTTCATAACGTCTATTCAATTCCAATTCATCCAGTTCTTGTAGTGGTGTTATATTTCTTCGTTTATATTTTAACTGCTGATAAACAGCTTTTGTTTTCTTTAAGGGTTTTAAAACTTTAATACCATAAAGGACAGCAGTGGCTAAAGCGGCAGCCGCCAAAACCATTAAAATGCCATACGCCAAATGTTCCTTTCTAGCTGGTGAACGTATATAAACTAATAGTTTATTTTCCTGCTTTATTTCAGAAGGATTTTTATTAGCTAAACAATAGTGCTCCTGTAGCAGCATGGAATTATTGAGATCTTCATATTCCGACCAATTTGGATTTAATTGAAAATTTTCTATACAAATACATTTTAAAGCTTCATTGTGATCGGCATTGATTTGTGTGCACAAAGAATAATTGGGGCAATCCAAGAGATTATCACGCGAACAAGTTTTTACTATAAAAGATCAAATACGTTTTGAATTATTTCTTTCCAAAAAGGAATTTTTGTAAACTATCATTTACTTTAGCTTACATATCACTTGTGCTTTTATTATAGCCCCCCATAAGAGAAGACATATTAAGCTTATTGTTGCAGCTCCCTTATTATTCATGTTTTTCTTGTATTATTTTAAATGTTTATTTAATAAATTTATTGTAAACTTATTTAACTGCTCAAATGTTTAGCACTTCCATATTAAAACGCTATTTTATTAATACTAAAATGCTCTTTATTTATTATTAAATATATTTTGTTATACTTGCTGCTGTTAATATGAAAAACTGTGGCATTATTCGTATTATTGGGGAAGATTTTGGTATTTTAATATTTATTTATTTGTTTAACTTCTTATCGCCTGTTATTTTGCTTTTTTATCTTATCTAGAGAGAAATTTTCTAATATTTGCTTGTAGGGTCATCTACTACATAATAAATTGAACATTTTTAAAATACTCCCGATTTTATATACAAATTATCATTTTCAGTAAATAATAGTGAAAAATGTCTTCTAGTCTATAGTCCAGACTGTAGTCTAGTCTATAGTCCATACTATACTTAAGTCCACTCTATAGTCTAGTCTATAGTCCAGTTTATAGTTTGGTCTATAGTCCAGACTATAGTTTGGTCTATAGTGCAGACTATAGTTTGGTCTATAGTGCAGACTATAGTTTGGTCTATAGTCCAGACTATAGTTTGATCTATAGTCCAGACTATAGTTTGATCTATAGTCCAGACTATAGTTTGATCTACAGTCCAGACTATAGTTTGATCTATAGTCCAGACTATAGTTTGATCTATAGTCCAGACTATAGTTTGATCTATAGTCCAGACTATAGTTTGATCTATAGTCCAGACTATAGCTTGATTTATAGTCTAGACTATAGCTTGATTTATAGTCCAGACTATAGTTTGATCTATAGTCCAGACTATAGTTTGATCTATAGTCCAGACTATAGATTGGTCTATAGTCCTGACTATAGTTTGGTCTATAGTCCAGACTATAGTTTGGTCTATAGCCCAGATTATAGTTTGGTCTATAGTTCAGATTATAGTTTGGTCTATAGTCCAGATTATAGTTTGGTCTATTGATCAGACTATAGTTTGATCTATAGTCCAGACTATAGATTGGTCTATAGTCCTGACTATAGTTTGGTATATAGTCCAGACTATAGTTTGGTTTATAGTCCAGACTATAGTTTGGTCTATATCAAGACTATATTTTGGTCTATAGTCCAGAATATAGTTTGGTCTATAGTCCAGACTATAGTCTAGTTTTTACTACAGTCCAGACTGCAGTCTAGTCTATAGTCCAGACTACAGTCTAGTATATAGGCCGGGCTGCAGTCTAGTGTATAATCAAGACTCTAGTCAATAGTCCAGACTGTAGTGTATAGTCCAGTCATAGTCCTGACAATAGTCTAGTCTATGGTCCAGACTGTAGTCTAGTCTATAGTCCAGACTGTAGTCTAGTCTATAGTCCAGACTGTAGTGTAGTCTATAGTCCACATTGTAGTCTAGTATATAGTCCAGACTGTAGTCTATAGTCCAGTCATAGTCCTGACAATAATCTAGTTTATGGTCCAAACTGTAGTCAAGTCTATAGTCCAGACTGTAGTCTAGTCTATAGTCCTGACTGTAGTGTAGTCTATAGTCCAGACTGTAGTCTAGTATATAGTCCAGACTGTAGTCTAGTATATAGTCCAGACTGTAGTCTAGTATATAGTCCAGACTGTAGTCTAGTATATAGTCCAGACTGTAGTCTAGTCTATATTATATTCTAGTCTATAGTCCAGGCTGTAGTCTAGTCTATATTCTATATAGTCCATACTGTACAGATAGGACTTTTAGTAAATATTGGGTTTTTAGTGAACAATTTATTTTAAATTAAATTGTTCACTTCAATTGAAGTGAAAAATTAGATCTATAATAAAAAAATAATTTTTTAGTTAAAAATTGGGAAAAAATTAATTTTTGGTGAAAAAAATAATTTTTAGTGAAAAATTTCATTTTGTTATCAAAAATTGGATTTTTAGTAAAAAAATTTACTTTTACTGAAAAATTTTATTTTTAGTGAAAAAATTTATTTTTAGTGAAAAATTTTATTTTTAGTGAAAAATTTTATTTTTTATCGAAAAATCAATATTAGTGTAAAATTGAATTTTTAGTAAAAATTAGATTTTTAGTGAAAAGTTTTATTTTTAGTGAAAAATGTATCGCTAAATTTCCTATTTTTAATAATTTTTTTAAAATCAGACTTAATCTGTTTTCACCTCTTAACTAAAATACAACTCTTCGCTAAAATGTCAATTGTCAACAGCTGTTCCAATTGCTGCATTATGACGTTTCACCCCTCCAATTTGTTTTGATTCCCTTTTACAATTCACATGCACTTCTTGTACCGTGTCTCCTTTAAGGCCAACACATTTAACACAAACAACAAAAAATAGTAAGAAAAAAACAACTTTGTACAAAGAAAAGTATATAATCTATTTTGGACAAAAATGCATAATTAAGTACATGTAAATTTTAATTGAAACAAACGAAAAAATCCATAATAAAACAACAAACCCGATTAGCTGACACCAAATTTAGAAAAGTGAAACGAAAATTATGAACATCAAAATATTCCAAAGAAAATATCATCCTGCTGAAGTAGTGGCCAAAATAACCTGCACAATATTACTAATCTATGCTGTGTTACCGCATCGTTTTGCCTCGCATTATGAGTACCTGGATGTGGAGGACATACCAGAAGCCTTAGTTGCTCAAGTAACCACAAATATATCACAACAACACATGGAAGAGTGTCAGTACGAGGAGATTCTCAAAGAGAATACATATATGTTTACTCCACACTATCGGGAAGAGCTGCTGAATGCGGAGGAGATTCTAGCGGGTGGTGAATATTATCCCGAGCACTGTCGTGCCCGGTTTAGTACCGCCATAATAGTGCCTTATCGGCAGCGTGAGGAGCAATTGCATAAGTTTTTAATTTACATGCATAACTATTTACGGCATCAGGATATACATTATAGAATATTTCTGATAGAACAGTACGACCAGAAACCCTTTAATAGGGCGAAACTGTTTAATATTGGCTCAATTATAGCGGCAGAACATGAATTTCCCTGCTTAGTATTGCATGACGTCGATTTGTTGCCTTTAAATTTGGGTAGTTTATATGCCTGCACCGATTTACCTCGTCACATGTGTGCTGCCTTAGATATGTGGCGTTTTCATTTACCCTATCGTGGCCTCTTTGGTGGTGTCGTTTCGATACGGACCCAACAGTTTCGCACCATAAATGGTATGTCGAATATGTACGAAGGTTGGGGTGGTGAAGATGATGATCTATTTGAACGTTTAAAGTCACGCCATATAAACATTTGCCGTTTTGCACCACAATTAAATGAGTACACCATGCTACGCCATAAACCTGAGAAGAAAAATGAAAATCGTGTGGAACTTTTACGTTCGGGAGCTTTACGTTTCAATACGGATGGTTTAAATTCTTTAGTTTATACGGAAAAGGGTCGTCGTATTCATAGTTTATTTACGCATATTTTGGTTCAAACATAAGTTGGACTAAGTGGGTGTCAGGGGGAGAGAGAGATTAACCATTTAGTATTTTTGAAATTATTGTTAATTAGGAGGTTAATTTGTGGTGTTGAAGCTTTAAAGGTGAGTAAATTAAAATTCCATGATTTTGACGAGAAGTTATTTTTTATAGAAATTTAAAATAAGCAACAGAATTTGATAGAAATAGATCTGACTATAGTCTAGTCTATATTTAGTCTGTAGTCCAGATTATAGTCTAGTTTATTGCTTAGAGTCTAAACAATAAACTACAGTGTAAACTTTAGACTGTCGTCTAATGTATAGTACTGTCTATAGTCTAGTCTGTACTCCAGACTATAGTCTAATCTATAGTCCAGATTATAGTTTAATCTACAGTCCTGACTATAGACTAATCTATAGGCCAGACTATAGTCTAATCTATAGGTTAGACTATAGTATAATTTATAGTCCAGACTATAGACTAATCTATAGGCCAGACTCTAGTCTAATCTATAGGCCAGACTATAGTCTAAACTATAGTCCAAACCATAGTCTGACTACATAATATATAGTCTAGTCTATAGTATAGTATATAATCCAGATTATAGTCTAGTCTACAGTTCAGACTATAGCCTAGTCTATAGTTCAGACTATAGCCTAGTTTATAGTTCAGACTATAGGTCAGTCTATAGTCTAGTCTATAGTCTAGTCTATAGTCTAGTCTATAGTCTAGTCTATAGTCTAGTCTATAGTCTAGTCTATAGTCTAGTCTATAGTCTAGTCTATAGTCTAGTCTATAGTCTAGTCTATAGTCTAGTCTAGTCTAGTATAGTCTAGTCTATAGTCTAGTCTATAGTCTAGTCTATAGTCTAGTCTATAGTCTAGTCTATAGTCTAGTCTATAGTCTAGTCTATAGTCTAGTCTATAGTCTAGTCTATAGTCTAGTCTATAGTCTAGTCTATAGTCTAGTCTATAGTCTAGTCTATAGTCTAGTCTATAGTCTAGTCTATAGTCTAGTCTATAGTCTAGTCTATAGTCTAGTCTATAGTCTAGTCTATAGTCTAGTCTATAGTCTAGTCTATAGTCTAGTCTATAGTCCAGTCTATAGTCTAGTCTATAGTCTAGTCTATAGTCCAGTCTATAGTCTAGTCTATAGTTCTGTCTTTAGTCTAGTTTATATTTCAGACTATAGACTAACCTATAGTTATTTTCATAGTTACGTTTATAGTTCAGAATATAGGCTCTACTCTAGTCCATAGCATACATTTCTATAATAAAGCTTAACTATCATGGCATTAGGACTCCTTTAAAACTCAAAACAACCAAATTAACCTAAAATAAATATACCTCGTAAGTATTTCTTTTTTACTAATAATTATAAAAGAATTTTTTTGTAAACATTTTTTAAGCTTATAAAAAACACAACATACACACAAACTCTATCTAGTCTGTGCTTCTTTGTAAATAGTAATTTATTTAAAACAAAAGAATTTATTTTTAAAATATGTTTTTTTTAAGAAAAGTGTTCACATTATGAAATGTAACAAATCTTCCAATAGAAATTTTCAGTGAAGCAAATAACCGTTTAAAGACATAATTTATTAAACTATTTTCACTTTTTTATTTGTAGTTAACATATAAATTAATTAAGCTTTAATAGAGAACGAATAAAGTAAATAAATAAAAGAAATTCTAAACAAAATTAGGTAAATTTTTAAAACGACATCAAAAAGAAAACGAAGATAAAACGATGACTTTTTTTAAATTGTTTTAAATTTAAAACAGGCATTGTTGCAAGGGTTTGCAGGTCTAACCGGCAAACGAAAGTTTTATAGTGATCATTTTTATTATTAGCAAAGTATAATAATTTCTTTAAATAAAATGATAACAATTAAAAGTAAAAAAATATAAATTGAAAGAATAAACAAATTATAAAAAAAACAACAAATACTTAATGCAAACGAAGGCAATAACACAGAAAATAAATGAAAAATATATGAAAAAAAGCTATAAATTTAAAATTTGTTTTATTAGATACAAATGGTGGAAACGGTGTAAGTATAAAAACAACTTTACAAATAGTTATTTTACCAAAAAATTAAAAAAGCTTTTTTCCAAAAAAATCGTCTTAAATTTAAACAACTTTGAAGAAAAAATCTTACGAAAATGCTTTATTTTATAAGAAAAATATTTGACTAAAAAAGCTTTTAATAAAAAGATTTTAGTAAAAAAAATTTGAAAAACAATGATTAGTAAAAAAGCTTATTTTGTGAAAAAATATCTAATGAAAAGTTTTATTTTATAAGAAAAAGTTTGAAATACAAAAATTTAGTAAAAAACTTTTAATAAAAAGGTTTTTATTAAAAAAAGCTTCTGGAAAACAACTTTGAAAAAAGCTCTTTATTAATATATACCTCAAAAAAAGCTTTTATAAAAATAATTTTACAAAGAAGCGCATTCAGCAAAAAACCTTTTTAATAAGAGATTTTATAATAAAAGCTTTTTTAATAAAAGGTTTTTTAAAAGTTTTTTCCATAAACTTTTTTTACTAAAAACATATTAGCAAAAGCTTTTTACAATACTTTTTTATTTATAAAATTTTATCTCATAAAACGAAGCTTTTTCATAAGAAGAGCTATACTTTATATTTCTAAAGGTTTATCTCATAAAACAAAGCTTTTTCATAAGAGCTTTTAAAAATTTTTACCAAAAAGCTTTTCTTGAAAATTTTTTCAATGTAAATATATAAAAGATTTTATACAAAAAGCTTTTTTAATAAAAGTTTTTTTTTCAATAAACTTTATTAGCAAAATCTTTTTACTATACTTTTTTATTTCCAAAAGTTTATCTCATAAAACAAAGCTTTTTCAGAGCTTTTAATTTTTTTAACAAAAAGCTTTTCTTGTTAATACCATTATTAAATGTAAGTTATAATTGTTAGAAAAAGCTTTTTTACTATACTTTTTATTTCTAAAAGTTTTTCTCATAAAACAAAGCTTTTTCATAAGAGGAGCTTTTCAAGTATAATTTATTATTAATATCATATAAAAAGCTTTTTACAAAAATACTGTTTTTATAAGTCTTTATTTATTAAAAAAAAGCTATGAAATGTTTTTTAAAAAAGCTTTTTTCATCAAAAAAGTGTTTTTGGTCCAAATAATTTTTTACAGAGATGTTTTTGTAAAATTTGCAAAATTTTTTATTAAAAGCTTTGTCCAAAAAGCTTTTTAAAAAAGTTTATAATTAAAAGCTTTTTTATTGAAATCTTTTGTAATTAATGTTTTTCAACATAATTTTTTTACTGAAAGCTTTATTAGTTAAGCTTTTTGAATAAAAATAATTTTTATTAAAAGCTTTTTTCTAGAAGCATTTTTATAAAAGCTTTATTTGTTTTATTTGTAAAAGCTTTCTAGTAAAAGCTATTTTATTATTTTTTAATGAAAGCTTCCGCTTTTTATAAAAAACATTTTTCCAGAAGCTGTTTTTGCCAAAGCTTTTTCACTAACAGACTTTTTTCCAGAAGCTTTCTTTTTATAAAAGCTTATTCACTAAATGCTTTATATGTAAAAGCTTTTCAATTTAAAGTTTTTTCCTTTTTTATACCGAAAGCTTTTGTTTTTTTACAAAACCAGCTTTATCGCAAGAAAAAGCTTTTCTACGAAAACAGTTTTTTCAAAATAAAAAAACGTTTTTACAAAAAAAGGTTTTTTAATAGAAATTTTTTGCAAAAAATTTTAAATCAATCGGAGATTTTTTAAAACCAATATTTTACATAAATCGGTTGTCAATTGTGGACTTTTTTTTTAGAAAATTTTACATCAATCGGAAATCTTTTTAAGCTCAAAAATTCTTCTTCTGTTAGGGACTATCTATGAGGCCTATTTTTCAAAATATATAAAAACATGTACTCACCCTTAAACCAGCATTAAGTCGGCAATAAAACCCGAATGTTGATTGTTGACTTAAAATGGAATGTTGATTGATGTTAAGAATGTTGAATGTTGCTTGATGTAATAATAATGAAAATGATTGAAATGTTCCTGAAGATGTTTTGCAAATGTTGTTGACATACAATAGCATTTAATTACTTTTTTTTTTTAATATTTATTTTTTTACTTTTGATTAAAATATACAATTTGTTAATTGATTTTAACTACACTACAAAAAAATTGTTTTGAATAAAATGTTTCGTTTTGTTTTTATCATAGTATAATGATATATATTTATATATAATAAATTACGATATAGTTTAAGGTTTATTTGTTTAAAACCTAATTTCAACACATTTTTAAATTGTTTACTAAAGAACAAATTTTAAAATTATGTTAAAAATTAGTTAATAAACAAATAAAACCTTAGTTTGTTAAGTTGTTTTTAAATAAATTAAATAGTGAAAACATGTATATATCAAACACACACACTTTTACTTTTAAACATTATTAAAAAATTAATGTTCAAAAAATGTAAAATATTAGACAATTTCTAATATTTTTTAAACACTAGAGAAACAAAAATGAGAACATTTATAAAAGAGTTTCTTACAGAGCAGCATACACTTTTAAAAATAAAAAAAAACAAATCATCACTTAATTAATTTAATAAATATATAGTTAAGATATTCTTAGGGGAATGTTGTTAGTTTCTTTGACACAATATGTTTTCTTTTTTGTTTGTTTGTTTGTTTTTCATAATAGAATAAATCACAAGAAGTTTTATATTTAACCAACCATTAATAATGTCTCTTTAAAGAAATGTATTATATTTCTTTTAATTCAAAAAACTCAAAATATCTTGTTGACTCAAGGTATTGAAATTGTTGGAATCATGAGATTGAGCATTCGTTGTAGCCGTTGTTTGAGGCATTAGGGGAGCCATACTAGAATTGGAATTCATTAAAGAATTCATAGACATGGCATTATTGCCCATAAGCGGAGTATTGGCATTTGTTTTCATCGCTTGATAACCCACTGGATATATATAATCAACAGTAGGCTTTTGTAAGGTATAAGTATTGGCTTGTGTATTTGAGTTGTTGTGTTGCAGTTGCTGTTGTTTTTGTTTGCTATTACCAAAGGGATCTAAATCATCGAGCGAAGAGAATGCATTGTTGCCGGTTGAGTTGTTATTTGGGGTCGTTAATGCGTTTGTTGCTGTTGTTGAGGGTGGTGGTAATTGATGATTCATTACTAATGGATTGGCACTGTGCCAATTGTTGGCATTTGTTTGTTGCCAATTGTTGGTGTTAGAGTTATCGTTGCTATTGGTATTGTAGGGATTGTTGACTGGTTTGGAGATATTGTTGCTATTGGACATATTCGAAAGATTTGAAGTCATAAGTGAAGATAATATGTCCGGTTTGGCTGTGGTACTATGGGCAATTCTGTAATGGAAGAAATAAAATATTAATAGATTAGTAAAAGCAGTTTTTATTACAAATTTTTACATATTCT